CCCCCAATGCAGCCTCACACACACAGCAACACCGACACCCTCAAGCAGCCGGAAGGCATCACACCACAGCCCACCAAGTCAGAACACTCTCCACTCTCAGTGTGTCTTCCCCACAACCTGGAGAGGCTGGGCTGTGTGCTGCCTTGTCCACCTGAGGTATGAGCCCACCCTCTCTGCCCCTCTCTGGTTACCTGGCATTGCTACTCAGACACCTTCTGGTGGAGAGTTAAGGTGTCTGAGGATTACAGGAAGGTGTGCACACTAAAGAGTAGGTAGGACACCCAGCACCTAGGACGGGTCCTGTGTCGCCAGGCTTAAAGTGCGGGGCTGCTTTAGGAAAGGTGGGCAGTTCCAACCCACCCACCGGCCACTCGGAGGGAGGAAGATGTAGCAGCCTGCTTCGGTGGCGACCCCAGCCTCAAAAGCCCTGTGGGGCAGTTCACCCAGTCCTAGATGGTTCAGTGGCCTCGGGCTGGGGGCTGGGGGTGGGGGAGAGATTTCAGCTTCCAGCATTATGCATTTCCCCCACTCCCACCCACCCCCGCCCCTGCGGAACACACACTCTCCCAGCTCTTTGCCCCACACAGCCCAGCCTTGGCAAGTCCACGTCTGTCCCCCTCTCCTACCGCCCCCTGCCCCAAACTTCCAAACAGCCCGGGAATCTCTCCCCCAAGAACCAGAGAACGCCCCGCCACCCCACCCCACCCCACCCCTCCCAGGCCCTCGGAAAGTGACAAAGCAGCCAGTCCCGAGGCCGGCCCGACAGACACTTGTTTAAAAACAACCTCGAGCACCCTCCCCCAGTCCAGACCCCGCGATGAGGCAACTCGGCAGCCAGCCGGGCTCGGCGCCACGGGTTGCCTCCCCAGCGCCCCTCCACCCCGCGACCCTGCCCGGCGCTGGCGGAGCGCAACCCCGGCCCGGGGAAGGGGCGGGGAGGGGCAGGGCGGAGGGGACCCCCGAAAGGAATCCGGCCGAGTCCGGTCTGGGGGCGGAGGCGGCCGACTGGGAGAGCGGGGAGACAGCTCGCGAGGCAGGAGGGGGAGAAGGCGCTCGCGCGCGCCGCGCACTCCGCCCTTGGGGAAACTTTGGGAGCGACTTCCGAGCACCCGGTGGGGCACGTTCCCGGAGCCCGACTCCGCACTGGAGCTCCCAGCGCCTCTCCGGTGCAGCTGCCCACCCGGGCCCACCTGGTCTTGCCCCCTCTGTGCCCGAGGGTCCGGCTGCCCGGAGCATCCCAATTGTCCCCCAAGTTCGGGTCCCGGGAGCCGGCGGACCCACGGCCCGCCCCGGCTGCAGGGCGGGCCGCCGCTGCCCCGCGCCCTCCTCCCCGCAGACCCACCGTGGGTGCCGGCGACTCCGGGGGGCAGGAGGGCGAAGAGGAGCCCCCAGCGGCACCAGGCCGCCAGCTC